TTTTTTTTTTATAATTATCTCGTATTTAAAGAGTTTATCGAGTAAGTTCTTTAAAGCTCATTCCCATGAATTAAATACATATGTAGGAGGTTGTTAGGTATGGATTTTAATTGGGGTGTATTAAAATCCATGATGTTTTAGTGATTGAATGGAAAAACAATAGGTTTAAAAATGTTTTTGAGAGTATGAAAGGTTTTATAGGATCTTGCATAAATTGGAGGTTGCTCCTTTCCAAATATCGTGAGATCTCATTTTTGTCGTGATATGCTATTATTAGACAAAAGTCGATGATTGAAGCAGTGTGAAACTCCAACTATTAGTTTAAAGTTCTGTGCAAAAATAGATAGTTAAAGGGGCCAATATGAAACGAAAATCATAATTTTATCCATTCAAGTGTAATTTGCTCGTTGTACGTTTTTTCCCAACTAAAGTTTTGATTATTGGCGAGGATGCCCGTCATACGTTTTTATTGAGTTACCAAGAAAAGGACTGAGGACTAACTAAGGACTTTTCCACTGCCAGTGTGAATAATGCATAAAGGGTGAGGTAGGTTGTGGTACCTTTAATATTATTTCATATCTATTGCACATTTAATTGGTAAGTTTTAATGTGATTTAGTATTTGACAAGCCTAGTCTACTATGGATTTCATTATTCATAAATATGTAAATTATGACATGTTTAGAGTTTGGAAAAAATTATTTTCAACCACCATTGTATCACCACCACCACCATCACCACCACAAATCAAAATAATAATAAAAAATCTTAAGTTCGAAACAAAATGGGACGTTTTGAATAGTGGCAGAATTAGAGACAAATTTTTACATTGCTTAGGACTTGATTTTTGTACTAAAAAAANACAATTCGAACACAATATACATCACCCGATTCCTACCCAAATTAATAGTTACATGGTTGGTGGATCTGGTTTGGGAGCTTTATTAAAAGTGTGGCTGAAGAGGGTGGAGGAGAAAGTGAAAGTTGATGGAAAACCCGATTTATAGAGGTCAATCTCATATTAAAAGTTACGAGTAAGATTACGATTCAGTTTGTTGAAATTTTTTGGCAAATTCTGCTACACTGAAGTTTTCAACAACATGAATAAACATTGTATGCGGGCCTAGCAACATATGAATAGCAAACTTAAAAGCACAATTGTTTTAATAGTTCATGGACAACCATTTTAGTTTTTGCTGCTATTATGCTACTTTTACTTACTGTGGCATGAACTATATATATATATATATATATATATATATATATATTTTTTTTTTTATCTTTCCTATTTCTTTTCAAATCTCAAATCTCGTATGGTTTTTTCCAATCCCTCTTTTTTTGTGAAATTTTTTTTTTGGACTAAATATGATTTATGGATTGATAAAACTGTCCCAAATGTTTGTATAAGTAGATACTGGAAGCTTTTGAAATGTCCCCTTTTTTCAGTAAGCAAATTGTCCTTCTTAACAGAACTCCTTTTACCCTTTTTTGGTTAATCGTTCTTACAATCATGTTTGGACATGATAAACCATCGTTCTAGTCCCCGAACAGGTGACCAATGCCACCAGAGACATGCACCGAGGGCTTGTTTGGATGAATTATTAGGGAGAGTCTGAATTGACTTCTCCAAAACCCTTCGAACTCAAATTCTTCTTTACAAGATGAGATTTAATATTGAATCTGATCTATACCCATGTTTAGTATACAAACACATAAACATGTATAACCCACGGATATATCATAATTATTAACAACTATTTATTTTATAAATGATTTTTGTACCCTTAATCAATCTAATTCATACTCATATTAAAAGATACAATTGTTTTTTGTATCCTTAACCTCGTAACACATCTTCCCAAACCCACTGCTCCCTTAGGTTTGACGAAACTCATGATTATAGGTTTAATATTTAAGTTAGTTACGGTTCGAGTTTAGAAATCCGGAATTGAATTTTCAATCCAAAGATAAATTTTGACGATCCTTTAGACAACTTTTTTCAAACCCATTTTGTCAAACCCTTTTATACCCCCTTATCAAATAGCCCCAAGTGGGAGACTCCATCTTAAGAAGTTTAGATTTTTAGAGGATAAATTATACTTTATACCCTTAAACTATTATCTTTATTTTACATTGCACTCTTAACTATAAATTTTTTTACATTGTACCCTAAAACATTAATTTTGTTTCATATCACTTCAATAGATAACGACTGTCAATTTTTTGACAGTAAATGCGCATGTTAGTGGTATGTAATAATAATATGCAACTGCCTATTGTACATGTGTAAGTCAAAAATCAAGAAAAATATTCATCTATGACTCTATCCTTTGTAAGCTCCAAATTATTGTATCGATAATTAATATTACATCATCAGTGGCAAGTGACGTGAATGACGTGAGAAATTTAAAATAAAAGTGGCTAAATTAATTTAATTGCTATATAATTTAGAGACATAATACATTCTGATCAACGCATTGGTAGTGAAGAACAGATCATTAAAGAGGTAATGAACCTCTACTAACAACCTTCTTCATTATTGCTGTAGGCAGCAAGCTTTGGTCCTTCTGCAAAAGCAACCTCCCAGCAAGTGGCAGAACACCACTGACTGAAAAGTCTATATTCCTCTTAGTCTGAACAGCAAAGGATGCAAAAAAATCAGAAATCCCATTAGTTTCTTTGTAAATGCGTTTAATTTGCACCTGCAAAGTGCCAAACAAACACTTGATCTTCTCCAAAACAGTCTGCAATCTCCATGGAACCTCTGCCTGACCCAATACCATCTGCACTAGTGTTTGAGAATCAGATTCAATTAGAATCTGCTAGTCTGCCAAACCATGCTGCAGAATCAACTTAAGACACATAATTAATGGGTTATGGTTGACTAATTCTTTACACAACTTTGGAAAAAGACACAATCTACTAACACGAACAATAAATAGATTAAATTAGTGTTGAACACGAATAAACCGAAGTTGACCACATAAACACATTTAAAAGGTATTTTTTTTTGGTAAAACATCGACGGTACAAGGAAATTTGTCTTTGAGAGATATTATGGTATATACATGATATAGTGTATGTGATGTCCATGTTTCTGTTGGAGGCATTTAAATGAAAACTATACACTTAAGTTTGTAGAAACTATATTAAATAATTTCCTTATATTTTTTAAGTTAAAAATTATCATCATCATCACCACCACCATCGGCACACATATTCTCTTCTTCATTAGTATAATAATCGTCTAGTGTGTCATCTCGTCTATCACTTTCTTCACTATTTGTATCATCTACTCCTTGGTTATCCACATCACTTGTGTTAATAAGATTTGAATCAACGTCATCTCTATGCAATGGCCCCAATTCATGTACTTCTACTTGGACAATCCCATCAACAATGCAGGACTCATTCTACTGATATGCTTCATCATTATTGATCACCCCTTCGTCGTCATCTATTGGCATAGCTTCCACATCTGGAACATCAAACATGCTCCTATGTTGCACCTTCTGTACTACTTGCCAATTTTTGCCTAATTTTGCGCTTGGGTCGCTAGGACAAAGAAATCATTTTCGTACCATTTACGGCTGACATTAACACTTGTGAAGTGAGTATCCTTTTGAATCCTTGCTCTTTTATTGTCAAGATTAAACCAATCACATTTAAACAAAACAACTCGGTTACCCTTGATGTTATTGACCCCATAAAAATCAATTAGCTTATTGTCATGTTCTCCTTCTACGGTTAAACTGCTATTTTGACTCTTATGATGGCTGTCATGGTCATTGGTGTGGTACCTAACACCATTAACAATGCAACTTTTATACCTAGTTGCTCGTAAATCTGGACCACACGTTAATGGATACAATTGATCAATAGCTTCTGCAGATTTCAAAGTGCGCAATCATTTCATAAATACAATGAAACAATTAAATAAATATACGATAATTAATATAAATAAATAAATAAATATATATATATATATATATATATATATATATATATATATATATATATATATATATATGTTTATGACACTTGTATGAAAGCTCTTACACGTCTTTCAAACCACTGAGGGAATTGTTCTTGTTGTCGCTAGTCTAAATCCTTGTCATTTTTTCTCTTGAGCTCATCCATATGTTCTCTAAATGTCAAAATTACACTTGTTTAGCACATAGTACACTTATATGCACAATAACTAAACATACAATAACAGAAACAAAATATTAATTTACTGAAGATATTGGGCCAATTCTTCGCAATTGTTTAGGGCGTACCATCGAGCCCTTCTAAGATCCATCTTAACTAAATTATCATATGATGGACATCCAAAAGGACGAACCTTCTATGAGAACACATACAAGCCTCCATCTCTTAGCTCCTGGCCTCCATCATAATTGTGTTCCTCACGATTGAATTTTGTTTCAATTCTAGTAAGATATATTGAGCAAAATGTTAAACATTCATTAGCAATGTAAGTCAGAGCAATTGAACCTTTTGGACGGGCTTTATTGCGTACATATCGCTCAAGTGTGCCCAAGTATTTATGGACATTTGACAAAAGACTAATTTAGACGATGAAGAGATAATGAAAAGAATTCAAACTTTATACGTACATTAACAAGTATATATCACCTTTCAATTGGATACATCCAACGGTATTGCACAGGTCTTGCAATCATGGCTTCATATGGCAAATGAACCGCTAGGTGGACCATGACATCAAAAAATGCTGGAGGAAATATCCTTTCAAGTTTGCGCAATATTAAGGCAATGTCCTTTTCTAGATTCTCTAGGATTTTTAGTTTCAATGTCTTACTGCACAGNTCGTCTATCACTTTCTTCACTATTTGTATCATCTACTCCTTGGTTATCCACATCACTTGTGTTAATAAGATTTGAATCAACGTCATCTCTATGCAATGGCCCCAATTCATGTACTTCTACTTGGACAATCCCATCAACAATGCAGGACTCATTCTACTGATATGCTTCATCATTATTGATCACCCCTTCGTCGTCATCTATTGGCATAGCTTCCACATCTGGAACATCAAACATGCTCCTATGTTGCACCTTCTGTACTACTTGCCAATTTTTGCCTAATTTTGCGCTTGGGTCGCTAGGACAAAGAAATCATTTTCGTACCATTTACGGCTGACATTAACACTTGTGAAGTGAGTATCCTTTTGAATCCTTGCTCTTTTATTGTCAAGATTAAACCAATCACATTTAAACAAAACAACTCGGTTACCCTTGATGTTATTGACCCCATAAAAATCAATTAGCTTATTGTCATGTTCTCCTTCTACGGTTAAACTGCTATTTTGACTCTTATGATGGCTGTCATGGTCATTGGTGTGGTACCTAACACCATTAACAATGCAACTTTTATACCTAGTTGCTCGTAAATCTGGACCACACGTTAATGGATACAATTGATCAATAGCTTCTGCAGATTTCAAAGTGCGCAATCATTTCATAAATACAATGAAACAATTAAATAAATATACGATAATTAATATAAATAAATAAATAAATATATATATATATATATATATATATATATATATATNAGTAAATAAATATACGATAATTAATATATATATATATATATATATATATGTTTATGACACTTGTATGAAAGCTCTTACACGTCTTTCAAACCACTGAGGGAATTGTTCTTGTTGTCGCTAGTCTAAATCCTTGTCATTTTTTCTCTTGAGCTCATCCATATGTTCTCTAAATGTCAAAATTACACTTGTTTAGCACATAGTACACTTATATGCACAATAACTAAACATACAATAACAGAAACAAAATATTAATTTACTGAAGATATTGGGCCAATTCTTCGCAATTGTTTAGGGCGTACCATCGAGCCCTTCTAAGATCCATCTTAACTAAATTATCATATGATGGACATCCAAAAGGACGAACCTTCTATGAGAACACATACAAGCCTCCATCTCTTAGCTCCTGGCCTCCATCATAATTGTGTTCCTCACGATTGAATTTTGTTTCAATTCTAGTAAGATATATTGAGCAAAATGTTAAACATTCATTAGCAATGTAAGTCAGAGCAATTGAACCTTTTGGACGGGCTTTATTGCGTACATATCGCTCAAGTGTGCCCAAGTATTTATGGACATTTGACAAAAGACTAATTTAGACGATGAAGAGATAATGAAAAGAATTCAAACTTTATACGTACATTAACAAGTATATATCACCTTTCAATTGGATACATCCAACGGTATTGCACAGGTCTTGCAATCATGGCTTCATATGGCAAATGAACCGCTAGGTGGACCATGACATCAAAAAATGCTGGAGGAAATATCCTTTCAAGTTTGCGCAATATTAAGGCAATGTCCTTTTCTAGATTCTCTAGGATTTTTAGTTTCAATGTCTTACTGCACAGCTCTTTGAAGAAGAACCCCAACTCAACTAACGCAGTAGAAACATCCTTATTCAAGTATCCACGTATTCCAATTGGGAGTAATTCTTGTAAAAGAACATGACAATCGTGACTTTTCATTCCCGATATCTTTAAATCCCTTACGTTCACACACTGTGCGATGTTCGATGCATACCCATTTGGAAACTTCATCGATTTCAAGAATTCACAAAATCCCTGCATTTCTTTATGGGATAATGTGTAGCATGCAGGTGGCATTACATAAGAATCGCCATTACGCTGTAGGTTTATTTCCTTCCTTATATTCATATCCTCCAAATCTTGTCTCGCCTTATCAGTGTCTTTTGTTTTCCAACAATATTTAACAAGGTTCCCAACACACTCTCACATATGTTTTTCTCTATGTGCGTCACATCGAGATTGTGTCGGAGCTGAAGTGTTTTCCAATACGACAAGTCAAAAATATATGCTCCTTTTTCTCCAATTCAACTCTTCGGGGGTTCGATTTCTTTTCTTATTATTTGGGTGCTTCCCATAGCTAACATCTTTGATGTGATTTAACAGGTCAAGCACATCATCCCTAGATAATTTCTTAGGTGCCAACTGATGGTCCTGCTTACCATCAAATTGTTAATGGTTGCAAAGATTTCTCCTCGTTGCAAGTAGAACATGCCATTTATCCTTTGGTGCTCCATCCAGATAAGTTACCATATGCGGGAAAGCCATTGATTGTCCATAAGACTGTTGCATGCATTTGAAAACTTTGTCCAATAGAAACATCGTAAGTCTGTACCCCATCTTCCCATAATTCTTTTAGTTCATCTATTAACGGTCGCATATATACATCGATGTCATTATCAAGTGCTTAAGGTCCAGGAATAAGTAAAGACATCATGAAATATTGCTCTTCCATACATTTCCAAGGAGGCAAGTTATACGGCATAAGAACTACTTGCCACGTGCTGTATGAGTTACTCATGTTACCAAACGGATTGAAACCATTAGTTGCTAATCCAAGCCTTACATTGTGAGGATCTTGTGCAAACCACTCGTGCTCCTTGTCAAATTCCTTCCAGGCTTTATCGATAGCAATTTTTTTCGATACAAACAATCTTTGTAGCCTCGATTTCAGTGGAAAGTAACGCAAAATCTTGTGCGGAATTCGTTTTCCCTTGCCATCGTCAACTTTCCATCTAGATGCACCGCATATGGGACAATCTTTTCTATCTTTATGCTCCTTCCAAAATAGTGCACAATCATATTGACATGCATGAATTGACACCTGTCCAAGTCCCAAGTCTCGTAAAATTGTTTTGGCCTCATAATGTGACTTTGGAAGTGTCTCATCATCTGGCAAAA